CAAAGATACCCTCGAACACTCTTTTCTTTGAAAGACGCACATCACTGTGACAAAGATACCCTCGAACACTCTTTTCTTTGAAAGACGCACACTACTGTGACAAAGATACCCTCGAACACTCTTTTTTCTTTGACAAAATAGAACACTTTTCTTTGAAAGACGCACATCACTGTGACAAAGATACCCTCGAACACTCTTTTCTTTGAAAGACGCACATCACTGTGACAAAGATACCCTCGAACACTCTTTTCTTTGAAAGACGCACATCACTGTGACAAAGATACCCTCGAACACTCTTTTCTTTGAAAGACGCACATCACTGTGACAAAGATACCCTCGAACACTCTTTTTTTGAAAGACGCACACTCTGTGACAAAGATACCCTCGAACACTCTTTTCTTTGAAAGACGCACATCACTGTGACAAAGATACCCTCGAACACACTTTTCTTTGAAAGACGCACATCACTGTGACAAAGATACCCTCGAACACTCTTTTCTTTGAAAGACGCACATCACTGTGACAAAGATGCCCTCGAACACTTTTCTTTGAAAGACGCACATCACTGTGACAAAGATACCCTCGAACACTCTTTTCTTTGAAAGACGATCACTGTGACAAAGATACCCTCGAACACTCTTTTCTTTGAACTACTGTGACAAAGATACCCTCGAACACACTTTTCTTTGAAAGACGCACACTACTGTGACAAAGATACCCTCGAACACTCTTTTCTTTGAAAGACGCACATCACTGTGACAAAGATACCCTCGAACACTCTTTTCTTTGAAAGACGCACACTACTGTGACAAAGATACCCTCGAACACTCTTTTCTTTGAAAGACGCACATCACTGTGACAAAGATACCCTCGAACACATTTTTCTTTGAAAGACGCACATCACTGTGACAAAGATGCCCTCGAATCACTTTTCTTTGAAAGACGCACATCACTGTGACAAAGATACCCTCGAACACTCTTTTCTTTGAAAGACGCACACTACTGTGACAAAGATACCCTCGAACACACTTTTCTTTGAAAGACGCACACTACTGTGACAAAGATACCCTCGAACACTCTTTTCTTTGAAAGACGCACATCACTGTGACAAAGATACCCTCGAACACTTTTCTTTGAAGACGCACATCCGAACACTTTTCTTTGAAAGACGCACATCACTGTGACAAAGATATCCTCGAACACTCTTTTCTTTGAAAGACGCACATCACTGTGACAAAGATACCCTCGAACACTCTTTTCTTTGAAAGACGCACATCACTGTGACAAAGATACCCTCGAGCCGGTAGACGCGTGCATTTTCCATTTTCAGTGACAAATGAAATAAAAAAATCAATATACACACAAACGGATTCCCGATGCAGACATACACTCAGTATAAACGCATACATAACCCAAATAAACATATAAATAAATATGCATCAATACACATTGTGATAATAAAATAAACACATCCCATCTCCCCTTTCGCTTGTAACTATCCACTATAATAAATGTTTTCAGTGCTAAAGCTGAATTAGTCAAATAAAACGGCTTGTTAAGTTTAAGTATAAGGCAGATGAAGACAAGCCTTTCCCATCACCCATTTTGGCCTTGTGCCACATTTGTACATTTTTTGTATAATAAATATCATTAGTCAAATAAATCTTCATAAATTGAATCGTTGGTGTATTACACACATGTAAACACTCTTAAAAACAAGCGTTAATTTTTAAGAAATTATCATATTTTTAATCTGGCATTATCTTTTAAACGTTGTATTTAGTCGGTATACATGTTGCAGTAAATAGTACTGGATTTATTTTCTTTACTTTTTTAAGAGTGAAATCAATGTCAGTCGTCCTTAGAAACTGAAAAGTCCTATTAAAAAATGCGGAGGAACATTTCTTGAGTAAGACCTATCGATGTACAGGCCGGTAGACATTAATTTCAGTGTTTAAAAATATGTGATGGCTAGTCAAATACGTGTACTCATTATAGTAATCAGAAATAGAGAAAAAAGCATGCACAAATACATACGCATAAGCGTACACGCGTGAACACATTAAAAAAACACAAAACACGGACATACTGAACACATGTAAACGTATAAATGCATATACATAAACACAGATATAAATAAACGCACATTCACTCATACAAACACATACACATTCATAAACGCCAAAACACGTAAAAATACATATTTTTTAATTATTTCGCCACAACTAAGGAAATAAAGCCACTAGGTCGCAAGCGGTTACTGAGTGTTAGAGAATATGAAAAAAAAAACTACTATTAGGAAAAGAAGACAATAAAAAATAGAAATTAAGTAGAAAGAAGGAAACGATTGACATTCCATCTAAATTTTTGAAGATCAAAGTTGACTGGGAAGCAAAAAGCTGGAAGCGAGAAATGCAATAGAGAAACCTGTTAGCATAGAACTTACGGTTACAACAAGACATTTCAACTGTAAAATGATGAGACCTTACCGCCAAACGAGTACTGCGCTTAAATTCATGGAGTATTCGTAAACGAACAGATATGCAAACTCTAAAGTAAAAACATAGATATATAAAACACACATATTAATCTTAAGAACATGCATATCTTGGTGTATAAATGTTTAATGTTTATGCATTTTTATAGACTAGCTTATATATATATATATATATATATATATATATATATATATATATATATATATATATAATAAATCTAGTGAGCCAGAAACTACCTACCTAGGTTTTATCTACATGGATTTTCAGGGTAAGCTTACCCAGACTTACTAGGATTTTTATACCCTGCTCTACTTAGTGTACTGAGGACATTACGTCTTTTCTTATTTTACTCGTTTTTTTTTTTGTTTGTTTTTTTGGGTTTTTTTTTTTTTTGGCTTTGGGCTAGAATTTACGACACCGTGCGATTTTTTTCGGCCGACTCAGATGTTTTTAGCCTTTTCTTTTTTTTCAAATTTTTTTCTCCAGATACCTTTTTGTTTCATTATATCTTTATTTGCAAATTGTACTATCCGTTTTTGTTTTTTTTTACACCAGTCAGTATAGACATTAACATAATATATATATATATATATATATATATATATATATATATATATATATATATATATATTATTCATAAAAAAACAAATACAAGGTTAATTATTTAATTGGCGAAAATCCATCGTATGAACAATTCAAAAATCAAAAACCCTTATATTATTTGAATTGTTATGTAACCTTTGAATAATAATTCATGAATTTGTAAATTAATTGCACCTTTATTTTAATATATATATATATATATATATATATATATAATTAAACGCTATTTTTAGTGGATACTCATATTTGAGTAGACGCTCCATCACTTAGCATCCTATATATATATATATATATAACGATATTCAAATATATCGGCTTTTCTATGACTTAAAGTTTCATTTCGCCCATCAGTATGTTATATGGCGGTCTCATAATCTTCAAGTTGTGTTTGTGGATAAGATACCCAATTATATATATATATATATATATATATATATATATATATATATATATATATATATATATATTCATTAAAAACGACAGACAAGGTATTACGGTTAAGCTTTTTATTTAATTTTTCTTGTGCTCTGAACAAAGGATGTGTAAGAACTGTCCAAATGTTTTATATTTCCGAGCGCTTTCGGCTATACCTTTAGCCATTATCAAGGATGATTCGATTTTTCAGCTTAATTGAGTGTGTGCGTTATGTGTATGTCTTAGTGTGTGGTAGGGATGTTTTTAATTTCCGAATACGGTTAGCACATTGTGGCCTTGTTCGTAGTTAATATTGTTAAGAGTTGGCTTTTTTTTTATTATTAAAGCTTCCATTATTTTTAATCTTTTTTTGCAGGTGGATGCAGTTAATATAGTTGTGTTTTCTACTAGTATGTTTCTAATGCAGTCTTCGTCAATCTTATTCAACCCCTATGTATAGACTCAATCCGTGTCGGAATTAGAAATTTAACGGTGACAGCCGTCGACAAATTAATACAGAATTTAAATTCTGTATTAATTTTCTAATTAAATTAATTAATTGAATTTTTAATTCCGACATGAACTCAGTCTATACATCTGGTTTAAATAAGACTGACGAAGTTTTAGTCGGTTGAAATTGATCTATCCCATCCCATATGAGGTAATTTTGTAATAATAATAATAATAATAATAATATATATATATATATATATATATATATATATATATATATATATATATGTGTGTATGTATTTTTTAAGCATTGTGCCCCAAGCAAGGCGTGAAGCCACTAGGATGCAAGGGGTTGCGGAAGATTTGGAGCGAGAGCAGTTAGGAGTGATAGGAGAAAGGAAGAGGAGAAGGATAGTGGGTAGATCAAGGTAATTGGAGATGTCGATTGACATTACATTTGAATAGTTGGAGATTATAGCTTTCAGGGAAACAGTAATTGGGGAGAGTGTTCCACTGGCGAGAGGTGCGAGGTATGAAGCTATTGGAGTAGAAGAGACGGTTACATTTGAAGGTTTCTACGGTGTAAGGGTGAGAGCGGGATGCCAGCCTAAACCTTGGTTCATTGTATCGTGGTAGACAGTTTTTCTCAACAGAATCGAGCATTAAGTATATAATTTGGCCATGCACTGATTATTACTGCCACATCAGACCTGCTGCTTTTGTTATGTATTTAGAGATTCCTGATAAAATACAAAAAAAAAGAATCTGCAATTTTGCAATCTGGCATCTCGGCTTCAGTTACATTTTCACTGCCGAAACGGATCTTCCCTGTACTTTTTCTATAAATATTTTCATGGCAATTGTTCTGATGAGCTTTTCTTTTCTATTAATGATAACTGTGGAGAGAAGTGGTGAACTCGTACCTCTCCAAAGGGTATTTACGCGTAAGTGAATATAACTTACCCAACTGGAATTAGAACTTGGCTCTCCGATTTCTAAGCCGTTATCCATTACACCATCTGCACATCCAAGCTTACAGCACTTGATATTCTCAAGCGGTCACCCATCTTGATACTAACCGGGTTTGACGTTGTTTAACTTCGGTGATCGTGCGAGAAGCGGTGTTTCAACGTGATATTGCTGTAAGCTATGGTAGGTAAAATTCCCTATAAAAGAAGATTGACTGAAGCAGTAGCGGCACATTGTAAATCGTGCATGAAAAAGAAAACAAGAGGACATATTAACGTAAAACAGATGTAGTATCAGAAGGAAGTGTCAAAATGATAGCCGGCGTAAAGGCAAATACAGACAATGGGACTTATTAAAAATGTGGCTGAAGCAGCAGCAGCGTATTGCAAATAAGAAAAAGAAGACATATAGAAACAGAACCGAGTGAATATCATAGCATATTATAGTTGGATCTAATGTAAACGTGTTTCCTGTCCTCTTTTCCATGTCCCATTATGTTGATGAAATGTTTTAGTGTCAAACTTGAAGCGATGACGAACTCTGTCCTCCGCGTCATCGAACGTTTTTCACTCACTTTTCAAATAAATCTAAACGGACACTTTTCAGTCACCCTCATTACCAACACATCATAGGACATTTACCTCTCCTTTTACTCCCCCAACAACTTCCTAAAGACGAACGCTTAGGCTTTAAATTAAAGTCGACTGGAAGAATAAAATTCAAAATCATGTATAACAAATGAATCCTCAAGAAATTACCTGCAACAAACTCACTTAGAAGAAAAGGAAAAATGTAATAATAATTTTGTCACTCCATAAAAGTAAAATAATTCAACCTTAAAATATTGTCGCGGTCTGGTGATATTTGATTAGCAAATTATTGGCGTAAGTCATAAATTTCAGCGAAAGTCACCCACGAAATAAAAATAATTTTGTATGGAAAGTAAATTGTCTTTAAATTAAGTGGCGTCAAAAGAATTATCGTTCAATTTTTTAAAGGTAAATTTAAATATTAATGCAATACTTAAATGCAGAGATCAATTTTGAGTTGTTCTGTAGTTTATTGCTATCTATCGCATCTACTCCTCCCTATTTACTGTGATGAAGGCCCAGTCAAGAGTCCTCCGTCGGAGCTAGCTTAAGTACCTCTCGATAGGGCGACTTTTTAAGCGAGTATATATATATATATATATATATATATATATATATATATATATATGTGTGTGTGTGTGTGTGTGTGTGTGAGTGTTTTTAGTTATAACTTTACTCCACTGAATCTTAAAGGACGAAAAGCATCGCATGAAAAAATGTTCAACTTTTTCATTAATATTCCGAATATATATATATATATATATATATATATATATATATATATATATATATATACACACACACAGATCAAAAGCGTCTCTGCGTTTGTTGTGGGTGATGAATTATTTTCCACCCTACAACACCTTTCCCCACAGATAAAATGTTGCAAGCCTCTCGCTTCTCTTTCGCTATTTCCATGGAAAGTATTCAGACGAACTACATTCTTTAGTTCTACCAGTTCTAAGACATGCCATGCTACGCACATTTATTCTCTTCGTATTCCATTGGTGAGATGTAAGTTCCAATCGAGCAGCTTCTTCTCACGAACTGCTGCTTTGTGAAACCTACTCCCAAGAGGATGCTTCCCCTGATCACTACAATCTTAACCTGTTCAAGTCTACGGTTAACCGTTGTCTTCTACACATATTCCCATAAAGTGTGCCTCTTACTCTGTAGTCCTGTATCTCGAATGGCTGTTGGCACTTGTACAGGTTGAACATCTTTATGAAATAAGTGAGTTATTATATTTCACCATTTTTACGAGATGAGATATATACAGATGCAATAGGTAAATCTTCACCATTTTATATTTTTAATTTCGCGCATGCGCGTTGTTTGTTTGTTTTTTATTTTGTCGGCTGCACAGTACATTAGGGTCATTTGGGCACCCTCTGTGAAAAAATGAGCATCATGATGCAATTCACTCCGCCAGAAAATTGAAAACAGCACGCTGTACGGCTTGGCATTCGCGCCGAAAGCTCCAATATGAACATTTCAGAGTGTTTAGGTGTCAATCTGTGGACAGTGCAGAGGATTTGGAAAGAGATGGATGAGTCTAATGATGATTACGAAGGTACAGCAACTCTGAAAAATCACTCTAATCGTTCTAATAAGTACTCCCAAATTTGTTCAAAACGGAGGCCTACATCAAGTATCTTGAGAAGGTAGTGTTACCCTGGATGAAGAGGGTGGCTACTGGAAGACCTTATGTCTGACAACAGGAATCTGCACCATGCTACACAATCAACAGAATTCAGTCATGGCTTTCAGACAATTTCTGCGACAACATCACCCCTTACATCTAGCAACCCAACTTCTCAGACTGCAACTCCCTTGATTATTATGTGTGGGGCGCAGTTAAGCGTGAGACTCCTTTCAGCATCAAAGATGAACTGAAGTCAAGGATTATGGCAGAATTCACCAATTTAAAAAAGGAGGTCGTCCAGAAAAGTTGCAGGAGATTCCAAAGCCGTCTGGTAGCTGTGGCTGAAAAAATATTATGTAATTTTGATATATATATATATATATATATATATATATGTTAAAATGCGATTATTATTTTCATTTTTGCGTAATTTAGACGACAATTTATCCATCGTACTATATATATATATATATATATATATATATATATATATATATATATATTATAAATTAATTGATTTAAAATATTTTTTCCGCTACACAGTTCTAACCATGTTTCATTTTTGAAACATGGTTAGAACTGTAGCGGAAAAAACATATTTTAAATCATAATTATAATATTAATGCTCTGTAAATTTACATTGACCACTATTTTGTAAAATAAAAATATCTATAAGAACACCGGCTTATATATCTTACTGTTCTTTCTTTTTATATATATATATATATATATATATATATATATATATATATATATATATATATATATATATTAATCCAAATTTTTGAGTTAAATTAAATTTTTAATGTATGAGACATATTACCAAGAGTCATACTTTGCATAAATTTATTTTCATTGACTGTCAAAAAATCAGTCTCTTTGCAACAAAAGTTTCTCTCTCGATCAGACTTGGGCAAGCTTTTCCGATCAGTGGGCCGCATCAGATGTGGCTCATCATAAGGCGGGTCGCCCTACTAAAAAGTATTTTGTCGTTGAAGGTGCCTCAGCCATTTTTAACTACTGAAGAACATACGCGTAAGTATCTACAATAAAAATGGTGAAAGATTGATCCTTTTTGGGGCATAAGATTTCTAAATAATAATTAAAAAATGAAGTCTCAGTAAAACATTATCACAGATGATAATGGTTGACACACGCTATTGCATGTGATTTGTTTCTTATTTATTCATTCGAAAATACAAAACATAGTATTTAAAATAAAAAAAATATATATATTTCTTCAGAGAAGAAAATTATTATGAACGTCCTGTTTCTAAAGCAAGTGATATTTACACGCATGGTCTTCCTTAGTGAAAATTACCAAGCGTTTAAAATGATGAAAACGTTACCTTCAACGAAAAGTTAAAAAATTTCAAGAAACGTAGTACTTAATCATTGTTTATGTATGACTTTATGCATGAGAAGATGTGAGTGAACAAGTGAGCACGAAACGAAATAAACAAAATTTTAATAAACGTTATTCTCCTCGTGAAATTCGGCGTGCTATTCAGAAAGCCAAGCGGGTCGCGTGTGGCCGGCGAGGCGCGGTTTGCCTATAACGGCTCTAAATCAAAGGTTCCCAAACTGGGAGCCGCAGTGTACTAGTGTGCCCAAATTAAAATTAGGTGTGCCGCAAAAGAGCAATTATAAACTGAAATTGGCAATAAAGTTAATGCATAGCAGCTACAGAAACGCTTAGGTTCACTAACTTTCAACGTTGTACAATGCTAATATGCTGAAATACTTGTCTTGAATATTATTTAATTAATGCGCAAAGTATGCCAAAATAATTTACATGTTATTAAGTGCATTGTGAATAAGAAATGTTTGGGAATCACTGTTCTAGAACGATAAGTTTTACTAGTAATTATTTATTAGTCTTACTAATAATTACTTACGCGTCTTTTCGTTAAGTAAACTTAGCAAAAGACCTGTAACTAATTATTCTCTTTAAACAAGTGTCTCAGTTTTCTTTTCTAAATAGAATTGCGTCCTGGGTATAACGATAAACTACATCCGGCAACAAGGTCTCTGATTAGGAGGTTTTGAAGAACGTGGAACCACCTCATAACTGTTATTGTTCCTAGGTTCACTCTGACCCCAAGTGGTAACACCTGTTAGGGTCCCAGCTATGGGCAAATAGTTAACCCTCAAAATGGGGTCAAAACACTATGAAAGTATAAAAATACATTTTTTATATTAAAAATACCAGTAATACATTTTTGGGGAAAAAATTTTACCAGCAATACATTTTAAAAAATTGCCATCAATACGTTTTTTGAAAAAAAGAGGAAATATTACCAGCAATATATTTTTGGAGAAAAAAAATATTACCAGCAACACATTTGATTCTCGACGAAACTCACTTTACAAAAATACGTCAATGAAACCTGATCTACAAATGGATTTCTTACAAACAACACATATTCTGTTCATACGAACCTATCCTAAAAATCTTGTCGCTATTGAGGTAGATATACCATAAAACAAAATCAACCAAACAAAACCAATTATTTCAAACCTTGTTGTAGAGTAGTTTTCACAGTGGAGGCTTGTATTTCAATAAGTCGTCCTAAATTAGGTTCGACGTACAAAACGTTAGGAACTTGAAATAAGAGTTAATGACGCAGCAATCTAGTTGTGATGGTTGATACTTCAATGTCCGACATCAACTGACTCACTCAACACCACTGAGCCCAACTGGCCACTGCTGCTACTACTTATTATCTGTGGGAGAGTCTATTACAATAGAATAGGTATTATGGTATAACAAGCCATTATTATGATTATTAATTTTTTAGTATTTCCTTCTTCTTAACTTCCGATCGAAAATAAGAATTAACCTTGATGGAATTTGCTTATTAGCGATCGTAGAATGAGAACATGGGAGTTGTGATAAATAATAGATGATGAAAGAAATACTAGTCAAAAATTAATAAT